GAACTTCTGTAGACAACTGCAGTTTTTTTGTCAAGGTATAAATTCGTCTACCACATATGGGGTCAAATCCTGCTTGCCCAGCGCATGTGCATACTGTTCCTACACTGCAGAAAATGTCAATCCCATTTTGCTGGTTGCTCCAGGAACCTATGGGGAATTTGATTACAGACACCCCTTTCTCCCTGTACACCCTTCCCACAGACAACATGCCAGGAAATGCAAGGGGCATATTGGCACAGGTTTATGGATCTGGGTAAGGTCCACATGTTTGAGGATGAGCTCCATGATTTGGCAATGGCCTTATAGTTTATCTGTAAGGAAAGAGTCCTGTTCATCATGTGCTGCTGACCAGAATGTACCAGCCTATTTGGAGATGGTAACACCACATCCCTTGCACTGGCCAGTCTTTGGCCCATGAAAATCTCTGCATGAAGGTAAAACCCGAAGAGGACAAATTGACACATACTGGTAGGGTCACGGAAGCACTTAACTTTTTGAAAGTTATAGAGTGAGGAGTTATATAAACAAGTGTCACATTTTTAATGGTGACTTTTGTCAAATCAAATGCACAGGAGCTGAGTAAGTTACCTCTAATGGTAAAAATCACATGCCCACTGAACGCAATATCAACTTGTAGCTAATACGCTAAAGAGAACCAGAGCTTGTGTTTGCTTTTCTTTTGCAATATTTCTGCAAAAGTAAACTGTGCTTGATTTTCAGTTGACATATTATCCCTAGACTATCCGGTTCAAAGGATAGGTAATGAGATATAGAAACTTCCATCCCCAAGTCAGCTATCTGAATGCAGTCCAGGTCCGTGGTGCTGAAAATGATTTATCACCTGACTGCGATTAGATGACCTGCCATCGATGAAATGAGTTGGTAGTCTTAGTTAGACAGACAGTTAGTCACAGCAATACAAATGTACCAGCACAGTTTGCACTAAATGGCACTTCAGTTTGCAGTTTCAGCAAACAGGTGAAGGACTGTGTGAACTGGTGTTTTCCCAGCTAGCTCTAAACCAAATTCACATGATGTGTAGAGTCAAAGAACAACCCCCTCTCTGGGGTTTGAATTTAATGGTTAAAAAAAAAATTCTAAGAAGACAATGAAAATTGGAACTAAGACTACTCAGATTTGGCTGCTCCTAAGGTTCCTACCTCAGGGCTGACCAGACCCCTCTAACTCCTGTACCCCAAGAGCACCACTCTCGCCTTCCTCTTATCCAGGTGAGCTAACAAGCCACTTGTTCGAGTAAGCCTTCGGTTCCAGGCTGATCATGTACAATATGCATATAGACCTATCATACCATCTCCTCTCTAGAGGAGGTGGCCACAGAACAGAGTTAAGAAAACCAATTGTCAGGGCAGGAACGTTTGTACTGCTGATGCTTTACTTATTGTGAAGGGAGAGTACTTCAGCTTCTAGAATGTTAACTTGGCACCTTTCATGAACACTAATTTCCATTTTAAAAAATTAAATATAATTTCCTTGTTGATAAGATCAACAGCCTACGGTGTTGAACCAAAGCCACTGAAGGCTGGATTCTGACACTTATACTGTCGTACCACTTACACAAGCAGTCCTATAGAGTCCCACAATGAGATTTCCCACCATGGATTACACAGTTCTAGCCCAAATTGCAGATAACTACCTCAGCTGCCAAAATAGTAACCTTGTCAATGTCTGAGATCAATAATCTTCTAAAAATGGAATGAAGCTATAACTCAGCAATGTCGTGCTTTGGGTCTAAGCAATATTCCTATCATCAGTTATCTGCTAATTGATAGTATTCTTGCTTTTGAATTATTTGGAGGTTATTTTGAGGCAGACAAACTAAAAGGCATGGGCTTAGATACATCAAATGTATTCAGGATGTAAGCGTATGTTGGCAGTGCCCTAAGCCTGGGCCGTGACTCTGATGTGAGCCCAAGCCCCGCTTCTGTCCACATGCAAATCAGTCTGACTTGTATCAGAAAGCACTCAGGTCCTAAGCCCCTGCTAAGGGGGTGAGTCAGAGGGTAGAGCCTGAGTCCCGCTGTGACTTAGATCTAAGCCAGACGTGGGCAAACTACGGCCCGTGGGACCGTCCTGCCTGGTCCTTAAGCTCCCGGCCAGGGAGGCTAGCTCTCGGCCCCTCCCCTTCTGTCCCCTCTCCCCCACAGCCTCAGCTCGCCGTTCTGCCAGCACTCTGGTGGCGGGGCTTGCTCTGGCCGGGCGGCGTGGCTGCCAGTCCTGTTGCTCTGAGCGGTGTGGTAAGGGAGCAGGGGGCGGGTTGGATAAGGGGCAGGGGGTCCCCGGGGGCAGTCAAGAGACAGGGAGCGGGGGGGTTGGATGGGGGTGGGGTCCTGGGGCGGTGGTTAGGGGCAGAAGGTCCTAGGAGGGGGCAGTCAGGGGAGAAGGAGCAGTGGGGATTGGATGGGTCGGGGGTTCTGAGGGGGGCTGGGAGGGGGTGGATAGGGGGCAGGGGCCAGGCTGTTTGGGGAGGCACAGCCTACTCTACCCAGCCCTCCATATAGTTTCGGAACTCCGATGTGGCCCTTGGGCCAAAAAGTTTGCCCACCCCTGATCTAAGCCCTGTCATTTTGGAGTGGGGATGCAGCTCAAGCCACAAACCTGAGTCAGAAGGGTTGTGTAGTGTAGTAGGACACATCCCCACAGCTGTGAGACTTGGGTCCAGAAACTGTAAGACCAGGTTTACAGTGGAGTGTGAATGCTCAAGGGTCAGCTTGGAAACACCAGTCCAGAAGCCCAGATCCCACACACATGTGTAGCACCCCCTCTCCACCTGGTTACCTCCTTTAATGCCAATCCGCTTACAGGTTTTGATGGACAGGTCTGGGTTCTTTTGGATCCCGCTACCCACTCAGCAGAGTGTATCTTCTTTCTTTTTTTCTTTCCTATGAAATTATTTGGCAGTGCCTCCACCCCTCTCACTCCTTCTTGGCAGGGTCACCAGGGCAGCCTCGGCGGAAAATTTTAACTACAGAGTAATCCCCACTTACTTGCCAGATAGTTGGAGACTTCCAAGAAATAACACAAACACATAAAAATATATTCAACACAGTAATTATATTAAACAGGAGACAAATACAACATAACAGAGTAAAGCACTATTTTTAGGGTCACCGGAGCCCACACTGCAAATACCCATGACTTGATGTAGCAAATGTAGAATTAGTGTCCCGTTGGTATGCGTACTTTGCTGGACTATAACCACAAAAATTCTTCTCTGCAGTGGTTTAGCAGCGTGGCTGACTGGGTTCAGTACAGCCCAAAGGACTCACAAGTGAGAGAAGGTGGTAAATCCATCCACAGGTGTAATATGCAGCTGGTTATAAAATCCTCAAACCCTTACTCCCTGGCTTGAGGACACAGTTCAGGGAGTAGGGGGTCCCCAGAACAAATTCCGACTAACTAACTAAACGATGGTGCACTCACAAACTCCATGAATGATCCTCAGGTTCGAAGATGATTCTGGACTCCTCAGTCACTGCAGGGGGGCTGCTCTCTGCTGGCAGGGATCCTCCTCAGGCAGGAATCAAGCTGCGTCGGTCCCAGGATTTCCCCTCACCACAAAGGGGTGCAGGGCTCAAGGTGTAGGTTACACAACTACACTAACATCCAAACGGTAGCCTCCTAGCCTAGCCTCCAGTACACAGCAGGCAGCTTCCCTGGATTAGCAGACAGAGCAGAGCTGACCATGTGGTGACTGGTCTCCCCTAGAGAGCTGGAAGGCAAACTCTACAAATTGGGAATCATCAGTGGGGAAGGAAAAAACCTAGCTGAGGGATCTGCTGTCACGTCCCTAGAGGCCTGTTCTCAGGGGGAACCCTGCATGCAGGTCTGGGACCAGGGCCGGTGCAAGGATGTTTTGCACCCTAGGCAAAACTTCCACCTTGCACCTCCCCTCCGCCCTGAGGCGCCCCCCTGCGGCAGCTCCCCGCGCCCCTCTGCCCCAGCTCACCTCCGCTCCACCGCCTCCCCGGAGCGTGCTTTTGGCCGCCCCCAACCACTTGGTGCCCTAGGCGACCGCCTAGTAGTTGCACTGGCCCTGTCTGGGACTCACCAGCTCCCTACACAGCCAGTCCTGCCCTTTTCCTTGCTCGCTCTAGACTGACTACAAAATGGCTTCTCCTTGGGAGGGCCTCTCACTCCCCATTGGTTGCTGGGCGGACTCTGAGTCTGCCTTGGCTCCCCCTCCCTACCAGGGCCTGTGTGCCTCTCCCTGAGCTGCCAGCAGACAGAGTCCCAGGAATCTATGTAATCTCCTTGGGAGTTACACGTGGGCTTACAAAGCACTTGTAGACATACCCTCAGTTTTACACATAGCATATGTTAATTTTTATTTTAATGAAATGGCTTGAACAAAAGCTAACATCTGATTGGTGTCCACCCCATGGATTCCACTCAGGGGTCAGTGTGGTCCAATGGATAGGGCCACAGACAAAGAGTCAGGAGACCTGGCTTTTGTTCCTCGCTATATTACTGACTCATTGTGTGAAACTGGATGAGCCACTGAGTCCCATATTTGCAGCAAATGTTAAATGGCAGCTACAGGTGCCCAACCCCTCTTAAGGTCAAGCTATAGGAATCTCTGGTTTGGCAAACAAAATTAGTGGTCACTTTTGAAAAAGTCACCTCTAATTTCTCTGTGCCTCAGTTTTCCCATCTATAAAGTTAGGATAATGATGTTTACACTAATTTCTAAAGCACTTCGAGATCTACAGATGAAAAGCACTATAAAAGTGGATTATAAGAAGCAAGCTTTAGATGATATGTGTCTAGCTCTCTGAATAACGATATCTCCTCTCCAGTCAGCTCATCATGCCAGCCCAGTGTTTTCAATTTTCTTCCTTGTTCAGCACTTTCTTATATTTGACATTTTTCCCGCTCACTCGAACGGGGTGAGAAAAGAGGAGAGAAGGCTTGTCAGTGAATTATTTAGAAATATTTTTAATAATTTGAATTCCTTCATCCCAGCTCTCTCTCCTTTTTAGTTATCCTCTACTGCAACCCCAGGACTTTTGGGGCCGATGGAACTTGATCCCATATTAGCTGCTTGCGGGTGGCCTGCATCTTCCCCTTTTGGTGTCCTCTGCTGCTTCTTAAGACTGTTAAGATTCTATGAGCCAGGCCCTGAGCTGCCTAGCTTTTCTACTGCTGGCATTTTGTCTTCAAAGGACCATTGCTGTGGCCATTCAAGTCTCTGCAAGCAGTGAAAAGACTCTGAAAGCCTTTGAAATTTATGAGTCTCCACATCATGTCAGAGTAATGATGAGCATGAAAGAAAAGCTTTTATTTGTTTAAAATGTTGGTAGACACTATATAATTAAAAAGACGAGAAGATCTGGGTTTGTTGTTTTTTTTAAATGCAGGTTATTCTGAATCACTAATTTCCACTCTGCTACACATTGGGCCAAATTCATCCCTGATTGTTATCCAATGACTTCACTGTTATTACATGCAGGATAAATCTGGTCCTTGTGTCTCGGCACACTCCGGGCATGTGTATATTAAATGATGAATGCTGAGTCTGATGTATGTATTCACTTACTTAGCTTATAAAGTATCTTAATACAAGGACCACATAATTATTGGGGTAAAGAAACTTTTCAGTTGATATAAAAATTTTGACAGGTAATACACAAACAAAGTGGACGTGCCTTGCTTGGAAGAGCTTACTATCGTTTTACAGAGGGGGAAAAACAGAGTGGGCTGTAGGAGTACATGGTAAAATGTTAGCAGACTTGGACAGAAGCTATAAACACAGAAAAAACAGGAGTACTTGTGGCACCTTAGAGACTAACAAATTTATTAGAGCATAAGCTTTCGTGGGCTACAGCCCACTTCATCGGATGCATAGAATGGAACATATAGTAAGCAGATATATACACATACAGAGAAGGTGGAAGTTGCCATACAAACTGTGAGAGGCTAATTAGTTAAGATGAGCTATTATCAGCAGGAAAAAAAACTTTTGTGGTGATAATCAAGATGGCCCATTTAGACAGTTGACGAGAAGGTGTGAGGATACTTACCTTAGGGAAATAGATTCAATATGTGTAATGACGCAGACTACATTCTAGAGGACAGTTACTTTTTCATTCTGGTAATAATGTTGCTGCTTATATTATATCACTTCAGCCTCTCAAAAATGGAAGCAGCCATTTGAATCTGCCTCTGGCACTAGGGGACGATGGGCAACAGAGCCTCTTTGACAAGTGATTCAGCCAGCTGAAGCATTTCCTGAGACTGGGCCTCAGCTTCACAGGTTAACAACAGTCCCCACAGTTCTCGGGGGGGAATAGCAAAAGCCATCTGGGGTTTAGGGCATTCTGCCCTACTCAGGAGCAGAATCATCAGTACTGCAGGCTGGAGGTGACCACATGGTGCTGCAAGAGGTTAATGGCTTCCGAAAAAGAGTCACAGGACCCAGTCAGTGCCACAACAAATGGTGAGTTACTCCCAGGGTCAGCAGTGGAGGGGGAGAGTGGATCCTACACAGATACGATTCCAAACCGCAAAGTTCAGCTCTTACACCCAGTCTGAACTTCCCCAAAATTCAAGGGAGTTTGAGCTGGGTCTTTTGTTTGGACCCATCTGTAGTCACAAGAGGCTTGGATCAGAATGGGGGAAAGTGCATTCCCCACCAGCAGTGTCTCTTTCATGCAAGGGGCAGAACAAATGCCGGTGAACCAAGAAGGAGTCAAGAGTATAGTGGCAGCTCTGTGGTGCTACTCAAAAGCAGGAGCCTGTGGAGAAGGAGCAGCAGCCTCAGCACAGCAGTGTGCTGCTGTTCAGCGCAGTGGCCAGCAAGGAGTACTGCAAGCTGGTAAGATGATAGCCTGACATGGTGTCAATAACAATCATGGTTTTCAGCATGTACCTGGTAAAGAAAAAGGCCAAGGATAAAATATTGCCCAATACTGTAAAGGAAATAGAGCAATGAAATGACCTAATCCATGTCATCCTAACCTGTCAAATGTTCAGTTGTTTTATTAGATAACATAGATAGAATCAGGTTTATTAACCCCTTTCATAAACTAGATAAGTTTAGATATGTTAAATCTGTTAAGGTAATAATCTACTATACTAATATGATAATCGTGGGAAGATAATTTGTGTTAGATTTCTGGGCAACTGTTATTTGGTTGAAAATCCAAGTATTGTGAAATCAATGAAACAAGAAAGGATTATTTAAGTATAATTACATGGAAGCATTTGAGGAATTACAAAGGAGTTCACAGTATCAAAATGAACATTTTCATAGAGCTACTGAATTGCTCATGTCATACCTCATGTCAGAATTTATCCAGGGAAGAAAGTTGATTGGGCAGATATATTAAAAACAGAGGAAGAAAAGTACTTGAGGTTTTACACAGTTATTTATGAGGCAAAAGTAGAAATGACTTTAACCCAGGTAAAAGAAAAAAATACTGGAGTGACTAGTTTTAAATACCGTGAGGCTTCTTCAGAAAGAAGAAGATTATGGAATGTGCCAATTCTAGAAGCCCATGTCTGCTTGCTGCATACAAGCTCCAGCTATCCAGAGGCACAATGAGCTGGCTGTGCAAGACCACACGTCTGCTCAACAGTAAGAAGGTGCTGAACAGCTCAGGGGTTGGCAACAGAGTCTTGAGCCAGAGCCTGAGTTGGGCTGAGAGGAATATGGGATTTGATTGCAAAAGGCTGAAAGGGCCATTACATGGCTGCTTCTGAGGGAAAAATACCCTTTGAAAGTAACAGTTGTGTGTACAGCTCAGATCAGCTGCAGCTCTTGTGGTGAATTTGGGCTGGACAGGACCCATAATCTGTGATCAAAGAAGTGTTGATATCACATGATTGTAAGACTTCAACAACCATTTTAATTAGAATTTAACTATTTACCAGTGTCAAGGCAGACAGATAGACTGACAGGAAGTTAGCACAGCCTGAAAAGTGTGCAGTGTTAAACAGGACTGGGTATGGCCAGGGTCGGCTGGGGATGAGTGGATTAAGGAGCTGATACTGTTCCTATTAAAGTAATGCCCAAATGCTCAGCACTGTAATGGAACCGGGTTGTGTCCTATGTGCATTCCCACTGCATTTTCTATCAGTAGAAATCCTATGTAGTCGCTGGAGGAAATTAAAGGTAGGCCTCCCGATCTCCCCAGGTAGTGAGTTTCTCCTCTGCAGGTAGGGTGAATCTAGCCTTTTGTGTACACCTGAGAGTCTACTGGTCTGAGTCCAAGGGCATGATCCAAATCTCATTGAACTCAGTGGGCTTTGCCCAGGGGCCAAGTGATCATACAACTCATAATGGGCTGTAACAAAACGTGCAAGTGAATCGAATAAAAACAAAAATGAAAACACTTATGAAAAATGATGTGTGTATATTTCTCTCTCTCTCTTTTTCCTTTTATTGTTAGATGACCTGGCAACCCATCTAATCCATAGATAGATAAATGACTGCTGCTGAGAGGGAAGAGGGGACTTCCTGATATTTTTCTAAGTACTTTCTAATGTTTATTATATTTAATACTTTTTAAAATGTTGGTGCTAAGTGTATAAGATACAATTTGTTAAATTGTTTGTATCTGCTACTCCAAGTCTCTAAACTTTCCTAAACACAGACGTTCATCGTTCCTTCCCTGAGCAGCCCAATTTCTAGTTAGGGTGTCTCAGCACATACAATCCTAAGTACCAGGTAATTAGCTTTAAATATAGAATTTAATCTACATAACTGAGATCCCAAAGCTATGACCCTCTGGCACCTAGAGCTGTGAGCCACTGTACCCCTGTGCCTCAGTAAGACTGACTGTTGTGGGAGAATTGAGTGTGTGTCAGCTCCCTGCCATACTAGCCTGTCCACCTCCCCAGCAAACTCCTCAAGACTCTGCCAGTTGTTATCTTGCCTTGCAGGTAACAATCAGTGAACCCCAGTTCCCAAGTTCCCCAGAGACGTCTCTCTGCAGTGTATAGTCCCTCTCACTGAGCACTCACAGAAAGTATTGTGTTTGCTGCCTCCAAAAAGCTGTGTATACATCAGCCCACTAGGTTAGCTGAGGACACACTCTATACTTCAATATAACAGCACTGATATGGTTTATAGTAAAATTAAGAATGAGCTTATTAACAAAGAACAGAATGTAAGTGATACTGAGCAAAAGAAAAAGACACAGATATGGTTACAAACAAAACAAAACATGCTTCCTAGAGACTAAAAATTAATTTTAGCAAGTTACTATCTTTGCTGATGCTGTTTGCTCACTTACATCAAGTTACCAGCATCTCTAGGTCAGGGGATCCAACCTTCACAGAATCAGAGGGTCCTGTCCCTTTTGTTCCCTAATTGATGGATAACTAGAATATGGTTTTGATCCCCTTAGATTTTTCCAAAGTCCATTGTCTTCATCTCAAGAGCCAGGAAAACTTCTTGGGTGGGTCGGGGGATGCAGAGTTGGAACCTTCATGTGCTCTGTAAATTGATTCCTCTACCACTTATTAGCTTAATTGTTTTGTTTACCTTATATGTAAATGTCCTTTAATTGTCCTCTGCCTGTAAGCAAGCTGGTCTGACAGGTAAATCCACATTCCTTTGTCTAGGGTAGATGTGATTTATTCAAAGCTTCAAAACACATTTTCAAATCACATTTCCAGCTCTCATCCATAAGTCCTTATACACAACCCTTACATAAACCATGCAATGATTTTTGGGACCAGTCTGTACCAGTTTATGAAGGATACCTTACATAACACCTCTTAGATACATATGATGACAACATTGTATTGAGTGTAGTGACCACGTCAGGTCTGATATGAGTTATGGTATAGTGAGCCTTTTAGCTTTGAAGAACTCTTAGGGTCACAAAAGAGTAATATACTGATTGTATGCTCAGATTGTTTTATGCTTTCAGAAAGCTATCAGTAGCCGCTCACTAATGTGACAGAGATACATAATTAACTGTATTTCCACCCATTACTAATCTGAAAAACTATTCTGGTACCATTGTGCTTCAAGTCAGCTCATCTATGCTAATGTACTCCACCAAATCAACATCCCCCAGGGCTACAGTTTGAGCACTGTTGTGGTATTTAGATGTTGCTTGTAATTATTAGAATTGGGAGCACTGGCTGTTGGGAGTCTGAAAGGACAGGAAACAGGAAGGAGGGGGGAGGAGTTGAAGAGGCTGAGGGAGAGCTGCTGAGGGTGCAGCAGCAGCTTGGAAAAGAGGTTTCCACTTTAAAAAATAAAGTCCTGTTGAAGTTTGTTAGTACCTTGCCTGCCTACTACAACAACTGTATAGAATAATTATATAATAGGTTGGAGAAGGCTG